CTGTAAGATTTCTGTTTTCCTTCTGAATATCTTCTTAATAATATCTGTGATATCCTTCATCTTATTTTTATCTTTTTATATTTATTCCATATTTTGAGAGATTTCTTCTGCTTGATGTTCAGACCTGCTAATCTGAGGCTCAATAGTGTTTCTCCTCTACTTAACCCACTTAAATTTTTCAAAAGAAAATCGTATCTTCAGCTCGGTAGTTGTGCTGATATTTTCCCCAGTCCCCAACTGCCTTGCCTTGCGATACAGCTGCTGATTCCCCTTTCTCTCTGGCTGCCAGGGCACCACAGGTGGGATGCTATTGCTTACTTGCTGCGCACTTGTTGGCATCCCTTAAGAAACTGCAATCCCAGGGGACGCCCAGAAGTTCCTGTGCCTGAGGGCCTGCAGTTTACTGGCCAGGGAGTTATCAGGCTCCTGTCAAGATACCAGGAGAGAACCTTCTGTCCCTGGTCTCTCCAGCTGCCATCACTGGCTCTCCCAGCTTCACAAGCAGCAAATACTCAGCAAGCCTCTTGAATTCCCCTGAGGGAAGCCTGGCAGGACACTGGGAGACATTTGGTCCATTAGGGCCTGTCTTTCCGATCCAAGGTTGGTGGGTCTCTAGGAGGCATGGAATTGTGATCTTCACCCAAAACCAAAACCCATTGCCATCCAGTCTGTTCTGACTCAGCAATGCTAGAGAACAGAGTAGAACTGCTCCATAGGGTTTCTAATGTTGTACTCTTTACAGAAGCAGACTGTCACATCTTCTCTGGGATTCTCACCCAGGGGTCTTAAACTGTGACCCCAGATAGTCTTGGATATAGATGGCAAAAGTTGGGCCAGCTTTACCAATACAATGGGAGACATTTATTAGGCAAGCATAATTTATGACTTAACTCAGCAGTTTTAACTTGAAGACTTTAATCTCTTCGAGAAGATGAATAAGCCTTACTCAACTTTCAATTCCTCACACACCCAACACAGTGCCCAGTAATGAATGCTTACTAAACTTGTTTAACGAAAGTGAAGACAACTGTTCAATGGTCCTTATATTTGCTTACTGTTTTTATTGTTAGCTGCCGTTGAGTTGGTTTCCAATTCATGGTGACCCCATGCACAGCAAAATGCTGCCCATCTCTATGATTGGCTGGGGACTGGACCTTTGTGATCCATAGGGTTTTCACTGGTTGATTTTCAGAAGTAGATTGCCAAGCCTTACTTCATAGCCCATCTTAGTCTGGAAGCTCCGTTGAAACCTGTTCAGCATCATAGCAACACATGAGCCTCCACAGACAGACGGGTGGCTGCTGCACAAGCGGTGCATTGGCTGAGAATCAA